AAATAACCTGTTGGCAATATAATGTTCCATGTATACCCATCAATGTCTACAAAGACGTACAAAATGTCCTTCCCTGCCAGCAGCCCCAGCGAGGACTTCATGTCCCTCACTCTCCTGAGCTGTGTGGCTGGGAAGCAATTACAGAATTAACACATAAAAGAAAATTAAATTAAGACATCCTTCACCGGGGCCATGTCTGTTGACATTACATGCAGCGCTCTGTCAACTATAACTCAAATTGAAATTGGAATCCCATAAACAAGTAACATTCTATTGCAAGATATACGGTTTCGAAACAGGAGGTCATGAGCCTCTTCTGGCATTCAGATAGCATTTCTTCGAGTAGAAATATAAATTAGGAATGGGTGAGTCTTAAAATGAATTTAAAAATAATAAGATCTACAAAGCCTTTACAGGTACGATGGAGGCAGGTGCTGAAAGCCTCTACCATCATTTTAATTGGGGGCTGTCAGTACCTCGGGAAGTCTGGGTAGATCTGGTCTCACCTGTCCAGGATTCACTATTACCGGAAACAGAACTTTGGCTCCAACTGTTAACTAAATTGGCATTTCATGTTGTTGTTTTTTTTGGTTAATCCTCACCTAAGGACATTTTTCTCATTGATTTTTAGAGTGGAAGGGAGGGGGAGAGACACAGAGAGAGAAACATCGATGTGAGAAACACATCGATTGGTTGCCTCCCCCTTGCACCCCAACCCAGCCAGTGATTGGGCCGAGGACTGAGCCTGCAACTGAGGTACATGCCCTTGACAGGAATCGAACCTGCAACCCTTCAGTCTGAGCCAAACCGGTTAGGGCCATTTAGTGTTCTTGAGATCATTTACCAGCATAAAGTGGGTCAACTTCTTGGGAAAGCATTACAGTGAAAAGTGCCCCATGGTTTTTATTGCACTAAATTTCCTGAATCTTGCCAAATGATAAGATGTCATGCTTGATGATTTTCAATGGTGTATGACAGCATTGTGGCCCTGGGCCTGTGTAGGGAGGTATTTGTTTTTTTTTTTTTAAATTTTAAAATTGATTTCAGAGAGGGAGAGGGAGAGAGAGATAGAAACATCAATGATGAGAGGGAATCTTTGATTGGCTGCCTCCTGCACTCCCCTTACTGGGGATTGAGCCCACAACCTGGGCATGTGCCCTTGACCGGAATCGAACCCTGACCTCCTAGTTCATAGGTTGACGCTCAACCACTGAGCCACGCCAGCTGGGCTAGGGAGGTATTTTTTAGCAGAACTTGATATATCCACAGTGCCAAAATGTGATGAGGACCTGGGATCTCACTACTGAAAAACTGACATCATCATGAGGGACAGGTGACACACCTCAGTTTAAAATGAACTCCTACATTGCTCAGCCCCCACACTTACGAATGTTCTAAGGAGCCTAGAAGCAGTGGTTCTCAACCTTGGCTGCACATTAGAATCACCTGGGAATCTTTTAAAAATCCTGATTTCTGGGCCTCATCCTCCGGAAATTGTTTCTTTGTTACTAAAATCCTGATTTCTGGGCCTCATCCTCCGGAAATTCTGTTTCTTTGTCAGGATTTTAATGGCCCCACCGCATAACAAAGAAACAGAATTTCCGGAGGATGAGGCCCAGAAATCAGGATTTTAAAAAGATTGCCAGGCGATTCTAATGTGCAGCCAAGGTTGAGAACCACTGGGCTAGGGTGTGGGAAAGTCAAGTTTTAGTCCTTCTCCAAGATCAATTGGCTGTGTGACTGCGGGACAGTCCCGTAACCACTCTACTTGTCCAGGTCAGGTTGAACCAACCCCTTGACTGTACCAGGGCAGGGTTAAAGAGATGTAGTGGTTACGAGAGGGCTGTTTATGAAGAAAGGACAACAAAAACATCAATTATAAATGTTAAGGTGTGACTGGGTTGAGCCTAATTACAGGCCTAGTGGTCACTATTAACTAAAGATGACAAGTCTTCCAATATGTCTACCTGTCCACGTCCTTCTCTTCAAATTAAAGTGCTCACCAAGATAACACTTCCCAGGGGAGAAATCTCTGGTACAGACCAACAGCAGGACTCTGGAGTTTATGTACCTGCCCCTTCCTGGCTGTGGGAATTAGAGGTAGGTCTTTGCTATGGAACAGAGTGTTGTACAACGATGCCAGTGCAAACACTGCTAGCCTCTAGGTGTCCGAGCACAGTTCCTTCCACGCCACGACCTGAGGGGTCAAGGTCCTTCAATTGTGGGTCCTCCATGACTTCTGAAACCAGCCCTGCAGCCCTGGTTGCTGGTAGTGTTGCTCGGCCTTCTACAGTCAAACCCCACCAGTGTGGCGTTGCACCATTGCTTTTTTCTACTCTTCCAAATACTGCCTGTCTACTTTAGTCCTCACACAGAACTCCTAGACAATTGTCCTGAGTCCCCTGCTCTCTCCCAATCCACTGTCAGGTTGGGGCAGATCAGCTACATGCAGGACACTGGGATGGGGACCCTGGATAGCCAGTTGAGGTCAATGTCTCCACATTACTGAAGAACCCAGGCACAGCCCTGGCCTGTGTAGCTCAGTTGGTTGGGTGTCAGTCCCATGCACCAAAAGGTTCGATTCCTGGTAAGGGCATATGCCTGGGTTGTGGGCTTGATCCCCAGGGGAGGGTGCATGTAGGAGGCAGCCTATCAATATTCTGCTATCGCATTGATGTTTCTTTTTCTCTCTCCCTCTCCCTTCCTCTCTCTCTCTCTCTAAAAATCAATAAAGACAATATTAAAAAAAGAAAAATCCAGGCACATAATCATATAGTCATAAAGAGGTCGGCTCCACCCATCACCAACATATGCACTTTGCCTTTGCTCTAGATTTGAAAATATGCAGAGGACCACCCTGAGGACTTATTTATTTAGTGTCTTTATTCACCCAAAATTACCTTTTGCATATTTTTTGGTGCTTATACTTTTTTTTTTAACAGTAGTATATATTACTTTCTTTTCTTGGTGCATATACTTCCGAAGAGTAGTCATCTGTGAGGAGAGATCTAATTATTGGCAGTTGAAAGCTTGCTAAGGTTGTTCATCTAAGCCAGTGTCAAACTCACACACTGAAATTATATTGCTATTCATGGTTTTCAAATGCAAATGGGGTGGAGACAGTTGCTCCAGGTTAGAAAAAACTCCAAATGCCAAAGCCATTCTTGAAATTTAGACATAGCGGTAGCAATGATATCTTCAGTGAGTTTGGGAACTTTTAAAATCAACTGACTATCATTTAAGGATAATGCAAGTTTATGCTCCAGTAAAAATGTTTCCCAGAAATCAAAAAGCAAATCAATTGGGATTTTTCTGATTAAGTCTCCACAATTGTAATCTGACCAACAGTGACTGTCAACAACACATTGCAGAGTTGAAACTAACATTCCACGTATTGACTTGGAGATTGTCAGCCAGCATGATCATGCCGGGTTATAAGCTTTCTGCTTGGTTTTCAGAACTGTTTCTAAACCTGGGAAGTTGTTTCCTTAAGTAGATTTGGGGGGCTTGGGCATATCTGACTGCTAATGTGGCAATCTCCTTCATTACAGAAAAAAATCAAGAAAACTTCGAATTGGTTGATTCAGATGCTGAGGTTTAGTGTAGACACCCAAGGGTCACTGCCCATGGGACTTCCCCTGGTATCTGAATCTGGCTGCCCTGGCCCTAAGGCAGTGATGGCGAACCTTTTGAGCTCGGCGTGTCAGCATTTTGAAAAACCCTAACTTAACTCTGGTGCTGTGTCACATATAGAAATTTTTTGATCTTTGCAACCATAGTAAAACAAAGATTTATATTTTTGATATTTATTTTATATATTTAAATGCCATTTAACAAAGAAAAATCAACCAAAAAAATGAGTTCGAGTGTCACCTCTGACACGCGTGTCATAAGTTCGCCATCACTGCCCTAAGGTACCCTTATGTTCACCTGTTCCATGACTTTCAGCTCCCAATGCGGAGGTCAGGGTGGGGAAGTCCAGAAAACAAATGGTATTCACCGGTGGTGATCACCTCATTCCCCCTCCTTCTATACTTCATCAGTTGGAAGGTGTAGAAATAAAACACATGGACGTTGGGGGGTTTGTGAGAAGGAGCCAGTCAGCTTTGCGTTTAGGGAGAATGACAGTGTTCACACCCAAGCTTTCTGGCACTGTCATCTTCGCCAAGAAAGGAACTGCAGAACACCTTTTAAGTAAAATGCAACCCAGTTGTCCACACTCAAAACTAAGGCTCCCAACTCTTCCCACTGGGAGTACAAAGTCCCAGCAGAGCCCAGCACAGTCTGGCTTTCTTTTCTGATTGTGTCTCTTAAGAAAACAACACAGCCCAGCCGGCGGGGCTCAATCGTTGAGCTTCGACCTATGAACCAGGAGGTCATGGTTCAATTCCCAGTCAGGGCATATGCCCGGGTTTCCGATTAAGTTTCCACAGTGTGGGGCCTGCAGGAGGCAGCCAATCAATGATTCTCTCTCATCATTGATGTTTCTCTCCCTCTCCCTTCCTCTCTGAAATAAAAAATAATAATATTAAATAAAGAAAACAATACATGGAAATTCTCTTTTCCATCTCAGTAGCTGAGAATTAAACGCACTTATAAAATATCAAAGTCAGAAAATGTGTTCCTTGGTGAGGTATTCATTACATGTATCAAATCAGAGGACATATGTCTCTAGAGAAATGGAAAGACATATGTCTAAGAGGATGACATTGCTTCATCTTCATTCTATACATCATTTTTTTCTGTTCTAATGTTCTCTAGATCCAAAGGGACAAGCCAGATAGTAAGTGGCCACAATCTATTAGAGAAGGCTCCATAGACACGTGAAAGCAGAGTGTGTATAGGAAACCTAGGACAAGTCCGCAAACTGAAATGTGCCCTTCTGTATACACGTGTGAGTGTGTCTGCAGTTGTGTTTAGGGAGCATGAAGTTCGGGGAGTGGGGAGTGATTAACATGGGGCATGTTGGTCATGATGGGAAGCGAAGGATGTTAGATCACATACTCAGGACTGTATCTGGTATCTAAGCCACAGAGAGGTGCAGTACCCACCTTATTTGTTGCATCAATAAATTTGACTCCTTTATATGAGACTGAAAGAATAATAGTAGGGACCTTCTTCATTTGCTCGGTGGACTTCTGAAATTAAAATTAGAGAGCTGTTAGAGCAGTTTGTGTTGCATGGCAACTGCAGCACATAATTTTTTCTCTTGAAAGATAAAAATGAGCTCTACACACACACACACACACACACACACACACACACGCATGCACCAAACGCACTCTCATGTAAATGTTATGTCTCCCTTCTCCTGGGCTTAGCTATGGTTTGGGCTTATACGGAGTCTGTCTTGCACTTGAGGCTCTGGAAGGAGCTTGCTCTGCCGCGTCACGTGGATGAAGGGACACTCACTCCCCCCCACCCCCCACCTAAAGGAGAAACGCATGGCACTGCCTTCCACGGTGATTGCAAGCGACGATTCTTCTGACTCGAATTAGACCATGTCAGGTTTAACTCCAAGGGTGAGGTTAGCATTAATAAAATATATACCACCTCTCCTTTTTTCCTAGTCACTCTCTTGCTTCAGGGCGCAAGGTCTGTCTAAATACGCACTTAAAAAAGGGATGTAAAATACATCGCTATGCATTTTTCTTGACCCTGGCCAAATCCGTGACAGCTGATAGTGTATTTATAGCGGAATCACCGTGGCCACACCGGATGTAATGCCGCCTGTGACAACTAAGCCGTCTGGGTGCAGCCTGTGCTTGGAGCCACAGCAAAACCGGCCGGTCCAGGTAACCTGCTTTGTCATTCAGCGCTGCTCCGTTCTCTTAGGCCAAGTTCTCACGGTAGATGCTCACACTGGCTAAACACACTTAGAGTGTGCAGTGTGCAGCTTCCTGCATCTGCAAGAAGTTTCTGCGTAATTTAGTATGTGCCTCTTCCGTTTAGTTGTACCACTCATCACAGGTCACTGACAGTCTGTTTACTTCTTCCCCGCTATGGATACTCCCCTAACAATCACATCCCACAGCCAGGGGGACCTACCTGACAGTTAGCCTGATGCGTTTTCCAGACAAGACAGGTGGGAACATAACAGGAAAGAAAACACATAAAAAGGTGAGTGGAAACCATTTCAGTAATCCGCCAACCGCATACATTCATTAAAAAGTAAACAGAAGAGGCTTGATGGCTCTATGTGGACGCAGCGAAACCGTTATTTTAGGAACGCTGCAGGCTTTACAGACCCGTCTCTCCGTGTCTTCTGTTTTCTCATCATTCTGTTCACTGCATTGCACAGTCTTATGACTGACATGCAGGAACCTTCCGCTGTGAGCGGTCCACTACCAGCCGTCTTGTGTATATTAAGGGAGTTGGGAGACAATATGAACTTGTTTGATTTCTTCGTTTACATGTACTTTCCAATTTTCTGTTTGTGAATTCTGACAATGGACCAGAATGAAAGGAAGCTTTTAGTTGGGCAGTGTGAATGATAGCCATTGAACTCAATATGATAATTATACTGCCTCTCTCACTTGAGCCACCCAAAAGTGATTTTGTCCTAGTAATTTTGACACATCTTTTTGATAGTTACTATACCCATTTCAAAGATAAAGATAATGGATTTCTAAGAGGATTGCTACTTAGTATTTATTAGGTGTTTCATACAGTATAGAAGAAGCAGCTCTTTTGAAGGGCTTTTTTGTTGTTGTTAATCCTAACTGAAAATTTTTTTTCCCCATTGATTTTTAGAAAGAGTGGAAGGGAGGGAGGGAGAAGGAAGACAAGGAGAAGGGAGAGGGAGAGAGAGGGAGAGAGAGGGAGAGAGAGAGAGAAACATCTGTGTGAGAGAGACACATGGATTGGTTGCCTCCCTCACATACCCCGACCGGGGCTGGGGATCAAACCTGCAACCCAGGTATGTGTCCTTGACCAGGAATGGAACCCGAGACCCTCCAGTGCTTTACTACTGAGCAACACGGGCCAGAGCTTGAGGGCCTTTTTAACTAGTTTTAAAATTACCCAGACTCACCAATTTTCTTTTGTGATTGCCAAGAAAAGACACCATGAAATTGGGATGTGAGGTTAGATATTTTTACCTTTTTAATGCTTTATCCAACCAACTCTTAAGCATGTGCAAGATAAATCACAGGCCAGGCTAGGAGAAATGATGTGCAGTGTGCTGATTTTAAAGGCAAAGCGGTGGGCTGAACTCTGGAAAGAGAGAGGGCTGTGGCAGGCATGGGAAGGGGTTTGGTGGGCTGAATGTGCAGTTTGTGAAGAATTCTTTGCAAAGAGTAACAATGGATTGCAACGAAACACCTCGCGTATCTCTTGCCGTAAATACCAGGCATATTCTCCTGAACAGATCTATTGGTAACATGAAACAATATTTAACTAACATAAGGTTAAAATATCAACATTTATTTAGTAATTAAGAACCCCCCCCCTCCCAAATTAAAAATTAAAACAAGAAAAACCCATTTGTCATTCATTTTTAGCAGTTGAGTGGTTATATTAAGCAGCTCATTGGGCTCTGGAAAAACTCAGAATCTATTTCAGGGGACATGAAACGGACCTCAAATTGCGTGCTAGCTGCAGTTGGCTGAAAAGGGCTGTCTGAAGGGCTGTGTTGAGAAGGATTCTGAGCCTGTGTCTGGGCTCGTGGGAAAGAGGGCTGGGGATGAAGTTGCCCTGGGAGAGGGAGAGGCAGAGCAGCACATTCCTGGCCTGGTCTGATACAGTGAACGGCTACAAGTATCGACAAATGTGACAGAGATATGAACAAAGTGTCAACAGAGTACTGAGCAGGGAGAGCCTCAGTTTGCATGAGAGAGTGGGGCCAGACATTCATTCATTCATCCATTCAACAAACACTAATTGCCTGCCAGCTGGCTCTGAAAAGACAAACAGGAGCTGGGCTGGCGTGGCTCAGTGGTTGAGCATAAACCTATGAACCAGCAGGTCAAGGTTCAATTCTAGGTCAGGGCACTTGTCTGGGGTTGTGGGCTCCATCTTCAGTAGGGGGAGTGCAGGAGGCATCCAATCAATGATCCTCCCCACATGGATGTTTCTATTTCTCTCTCCCTTCCTCTTCCTCTCTAAAATCAATCATATATGTATTCAATCATATATATATATATTCAGTCATATATATATATATATATATATATGTCATATATATATATATATATGACAATTAGGAATTTCCAGGTGGCAAAAGAGGACAAAAGAAGCTGTTTTAGTGGCAGAATCAACATACACATACACATATGCCTGGAACTAAGAAAGAATGTGGTGGGTGTGGGCAATCGGTGGGAGATGATGCTGGTGCAGTAGGTTTGGGAGATTGTGACTTGCTCTGCTAAGCTAGGATCCAGTGGCAGCTTCTAAGAAGGGAGTGAGACAGTCAAATCTGTGTCGCAGAGAGATAGCTCTGATGGCTGAATGGACAGGAACAAGGAGAGGCTGAGTGCAGGGAGGCAGGAAGCTCTGGTACAAACCCAACGAGAGAGCCTAAGCAGCCGGGATGAAGTAGAGGCGCTGGAGAATGCGCCAGGGAGCCACAGTTCCAATGAGGAGGCATCAAGAGGATCTGCTAACTGATCCACCAGGAGATGAGAGAACGAGAGGATGTCACGGGTAAAGAGGCCATTCTCTGGGATAAGGAACACTGGAGGGGAGCACGCTTTTGCACACAATCCTTTTGAATGTGCTCAGTTTGATCATCAGTAGGAAATCAGACACAAGAATCAGATCTGGAGCCCTGGCCCACGTGGCTCAGTTGGTTGAGTGTCGTCCCATGCACCGAAAGGTTGCCGGTCCGATTCCCAGTCAAGGCACGTATCTTACTAAGGTTGCAGGTTTGATCCTTTGTCAGGGTGTGTGTGAAAGGCAACTGATCTCTCTCTCTCTCTCTCTCTCTCTCTTTCTCTCTCTCTCCTTCCTCTCTCTCTAAAGTCAATAAAAGCATATTAAAAAAAAAAGAATCAGATCTGGAAATCCACCCACATAGAGGATATGAATGAAGAGATGGTAGCAGAGGGAGTGGCTGAAGAGATGGTAGCAGACGGAGTGAGCAAAAGGCGGTCTAAGAACCACCCCTGAGGAAAGAGAATATTTACCAGCTGCAGCAGGAAGAAGAGTCCATGAAAGAACCTGAAACAGAGCTGGAAGCAGCCTGAGAGCGGGAAGTCGAGAAGAAGATTCCTTCGGAGGTGGGAACAGTGCCTGATACCCTGAGGACTGAAGAGGCCGAGAAATCTGGGCCTGGCTTAGTGGCTGGCACACGGAGGAGCGGCTACTTTTATGGGGTCTCCTGGGTGAAATCTCTGGCGTTAGCAGCTAGAAAATTTGTTGCTGAGTTTATTAAGAGCCGCTTCAGAACGGTGGCAGCAGACAAAGAACACAGCGAATGTCCGTGAAAGGGAGCGGAGAGATGGGGCAGTCAGCGGGTCAGGACACACTCTCAGGCTGAAATGAAGGCATTAGCGGGGATTTCTGTCCTGATACACAGATTCCACGTAATCTGCTCAGTGGAGCTGAACAGAGAAGAAAAGATAAAGGAGGGCCCTTTCTTTTTCTTCCCAGGGTGCCAAGAATCCCTGTCTCCTCACCGGAGGCAGGCTGGGGTGCCGATGATGCAGGCTGTGACAGGCCCGTGTGAATGGCAGACAGTGCTGGGGTGGCCACACATTCCCATCGGCACCAGGTCACCGCTCACGTTACAGCACGCACTGCCAGGAAACACTGGTTTCTAGGGCCTATCTGCAGCTTTGCTGGGGGGTTCACACTCCCATCTGTGTATGTTAAGAATCCAAACCTTATTTATTTGTGTGTTTTTTTGTTATTTGTTTTTGGTTAATCCTCACCCAATGGATATTTTCCCACTGAGTTTTAGAAAGAGTGGAAGAGAGAGGGAAAGACAGAGAGAAACATCGATGTGAGAGAAACACATCAATTGGTTGCCTCCTGCACGCGAGTTCTGACCAGGGCCCGGGCCAGGGAGAAGCCTGCAACCAAGGTATGTACCCTTGACTGGAATTGAACCCAGGACCCTTTGGTCCGCAGGCCAGTGCTCTATCCACTGAGCCAAACTGGCTAGGGTCAAGCCTTATTTATTTGTGTAAGCTGAATTGAACCGGTGACCTCTTGGTGTATGGGATGACACTCAATCCACTGATCCATACCGGCCAGGCAAAACTGCCATATTTAAGGGTCAAAAATGGCTAACTTGGAGCAATTTCCTAGGGTTCCATGTACCAGCTGCTGAAATCCGTGACTGGTACATGAATGAGCAAATGAGTTCATGTATGGTAATGAGCACGACACCGACGTTACCACAATGCCAGCTCCTCCACGCACAGAGCTCAGCAAACTCTCAGAGAACCTCAGTGCCCGAGCCAGGCATGGAGGCCTTGAAGGAACTTGGAGAACCACAGATGTGATTAAAATACAGCAGGAGATTCCTATGGGGTGGCAAACGCTCTTCAGATCTGGTGATTTTCCAGCCTCCGGGAGAGAAGCCTTTATTTCCGCGACAGAAATCCAGCTCCGATGGCGAGCGCTGAGATGAGGAAAGACTTCCTGGGAGGGCAGCTGGGAAGCTTCTCCCTCGGGAGGTCTTAGAGCAGCGGTCGCCAACCTTTCGGACCTCACGGACCACCAGTGGTCCACTGGTTGGCGACCGCTGTCTTAGAGATAGTTTGGACATTTACCTGTCACTCATGACTCAGGGGTAAGTCTCCTTTGGCTGGGAAACCAGCTAAATGACCTCTCAAGGGCTTTTCTGGCCATAGGAACTCTGATACAGAGGCTGGGCGAACGCAGAGCCTGTGGGAGACCATGTGACATGAACAGACTGTGGGCAAGCAGCCATGCGAACTGCTCCTCCGGCCTTAGACACGGCTGCTGTCCCCCAGAGGAACTCACAACCGGGCCAAATCTGGCACAGTGCAGAGCCATGCCCCGTCTCCTTTCCTGCAGCTGGTTTGCCGGCACCGAGGCAGAGGGATCCTCCCAGGGCAGCCTGTCTATCAGCAGCCTCACTAGGTGCCCAG